CAATAATACTCCGACGCTTAACGAAAGCTCGTGAAGAGCAAACTCGAGGAAATCAGGCTGGTTTCAGACCTGGACGTGGTTGTATAGACCACACTTTCACACTACTACAGGTCCTGCAACACGGACACACATTTAGGCGTCCTACAATAGTTGTTTTCCAGCAGAAATACATTTCTTATGATGGTACTTTTTGTGACCCGGAACTTCGTGACATGTTGAAGTGATCGCCTCCTGATCCCTTTCTAATAGTTCTTCATTGTTGCTTGCTCTGTATTGAGTACATCGTGCAAAGCCTTGAACCTATTAGTGAGGGCTATCCTGAATTCGTTGAGCTTTACAGTACCTCGAAGAAAGGCTGTAATAAACTTGTGCGAAGTTTCTTGAGTTTCAGTTTCATTTTGGCGACCAGCAAGTGGTGATCTGAGGCTTTATCAGCTCCTCTCTTAGTTCTCACATCCTCTACAGTCCTTCTGTAATTTTTATCGAAACAGATATGGTCGACTTGGTTTTTAAGTAGTGTGGTGCAGTGAAATCCATGCAGCCTTGTGTATGCGTTTGTGTCGGAATAAGGTACCACCGATGAACAGTTTGCTAAAGGCACATAGGTTTGCAAATCTCTCACTATTTTCGTTCATTAATCTCAGACCATGTCGTCCCATGATGTCTTCATATCCAGTGATGTCCATTCGAAACTTGGCATTAAGGTCTCCCAACATAATGGTCAAATACCTCGGTGAGCAACTGTCAACAACTGACTTCAGATTTTCGTAGAATTGATCATTACCGTGGTCATATCTGTCTGGCTGAATACAAATAATAGCGAATCCTATGCTAGTTTTCGCTTCTACGAGACGTGCATTAAACTTCAGGAACTCATTGAGTGCCTTAAATGCAGAGTACACACAGCAATCACGTTCATTGGTGAAGAGGAATATGATTAAAAAATTGACATTCCTTGACATCACACTAAGTGATGGTTCGCTAAGTAGAAGCGCGCATAGAAAATATCCCAGTGCTTGCCATTACACTCACTTCTGTAGTTTTACACCTATCCACTACAAAATAAATTCGGTTAGATGTCTGACAAGCAGAGCAAATATGATCTGTTCAGTGGATACTTTAAGTCAGGAGCTGGAATTGATCGACGGCTGATTACCCGAGGCTGGTTATCCCAGCGCATTCATAAAGAAGTATATGTTAGCCGTAAGAAGAAGTCGGTAGTTTCCACCGCCCAAAAGCAGTCTTTATTTTTGAGGTTACAATTGAACGGAGATGTGGCCTGTGATACTCTGCAGGACAGATTGATAAGAGTAGTTTATAGAACATTCAACGCTGCCAAACTTGCATTGACATTCTCCAGTCGACCAGCGATGTCTACCCAAACGAAGGATAAGTTACCTGAGTTTGCCTCCTCTATGTGCATTTACAAATTCAGCTGCTACTGTGGAGATAGCTATATCGGGCGTACTTCCAGGCAACTAACCCAATGAATGAGTGAACATTCCCAGCATGGTTTACGAAGGGTCTGTCAAAAACAATACGCAGCTCTATCTTAGCACACCTGGTAGATAGTGGTCACATTGTAGATAAATCTAGATCTTTTCGGGTGACCTATCGTATAGCTCCATCATTTCCCAACGGAGTTCCATCCCGTCTCCTATACATAACAGAAGCTATAGGAATACGTACATTCAACCGCAATTTGTGTGTTCAGAAGAAATTCGTGACACCCCTATTTCTCCCGCGGCTGGATATCACGTAACTAACGATTGACATTATTTTTTTTACTTATTATTTTCGACACGTTTGCTTATTACGTAATGGTTTTGATGTTTTTTGATGATTATTTGAAGTCTATTCATCCACCATTGACCTACTATTGATAAACCTTTAGTTATCATATTTTATAATTTTACTACTACTATCAGTACACCTGTCTTCCTACTATCCACTGGTACTTCTGCCTGTAATATATGTAGTGACGTAATCTCTATTTCATTTCATTGCGATCATCGACTCAAATTGGCTTGATTGGTTTCACATTTTCATATATAAATATTCATGTATATTAGAGAGTAAAGCAGCCTGATGACAATCTAATCGAAAATAACAATATTGTTCGCTTATATGTGTTGTTCTAATTGTATTTCTACTTTGTTGAAGATGATAAACTATAGATGAAACTTTTTTTATCGAATTTTACTTATCTGAATACTATTATTGCACCTGTACTCATACGAACAAATTTCACTTTTACCTAATATGAGCATGTACGTAGAATTGTGATGATAAACTCAAACTTCCTTAAAGTATTCAAAAGATTCATATACATAATAATGTATATTAGAGTGAAGCATGATGTCGATCTAAGCGAATTCGCTTGCATAAACTTGTTGGTTTCAGATAGGAATAGTTCCAAGTGAGTAGCGTTAGATGGTAACAGTGAAATAGGATTTTAACAAAGAATATAATTATTGTGTTTGACACTAATTGTTAATTAATAATGTATACAATCAAATTGACACAGAGAAAATTGGAGAATGCTGAGAAGTTGAAAAAATCAACGGATATTTCAAAGCCAAATGCATTACTCAAGGAAGTTCGGAATGACTTTTATAATATTCACAGTGAAATTATACTTCTTCGACCCCAACTTGTAAGTTCGAATATTGTGAAAATTTTGAATGATTTTATGTGTCATTTCTCATTTCAATTGTTGTTCAGGATTCGTAGATAACTTCAATCAGTTTATCGTTTCCGTTGCGTATTGTAACAAATAGAAATGAAATGCATGGAAACCGCATACTTCGAAATCGGTTCTCTCACAACCTACTTCTTTGCACATATAATTGAAAGAAAATTCATCTACTCAGTAGCATCTGATAGATGGTGATGGTTAGAGAGTAGTGTCACTCCTAATTGCAATAATCCTACAAATTTTGTATAATAGTTGTTTATTCGATAACTGCTAGTACTAGTTGATGATCAGGTACATCGACAATTTGATGTGGTATTATGAACCTGTCTGTTGTATATAATTGTTGTCAGTTTGTGATGAAAACGATCGCGTTAATCAATTCAATATTCTTAAACATGATAGTGAAATTTCGAGCAAACGTGTGAGTAAATCATGGTTTAGTGAGATACACGTTATAAGAATTCAAGAATTGTTTCTGCTTTTGGTGAATACTAAATTCACATTACTACATGTGTGTGCATCACATGTTACAGTATTTGTGTAGAATACATGTGTAACTACTGAAGACACTGTTTATGGGAGATTTCGCGTTAGTTGGTTGTCAAATATGCAACCTCGTAGTTTTTTAGTGAATATTGGTTTTAGAGTTGTGCATAGGAAATATTAGCTTTATCGATGTGTGTGAAGAGTGTTGTCAAGGTGCCTCATTCTGAAAATTAGAACAAGACATGTTGACTGGCATTTCTTGTGTTTTCATTTTGATGGTTATCCGGCTTCACTCTGAAATACATGAATATTTATATGAAAATTATAAACTAACGAAGGCAATGTGAGTCAGTATTCACATGCAAAATATTGCGCCCATACACACACACACATTATAGGTAAAGGTACAAGTTGATGGTCGGAAGACATTTGTACTGATATTAGTAAGAAATATAAAATACGTACGCTTGACAAAAGTCTTATCAATAGTTCACAACATTGGAGACAGTAGGTCAAGCGGGGATTAATGGACTTTGACAGATATTGTCAGACATGAAGATTTCCCCTTCCATACAGGCCAGCTCATCTAATTCAACCACAGCTGCATCGGTCAGCGGCATCGCATACAGCGTAGCTGAATTTCATTATGATCCTGATGCCATTGTTTCTTTTGACATTTGGTTCCGGCGTTATGAACATTTATTTAAATTTGATTTCGCCAACTAAGATGATGCTTGTAAGATTCGGCTGCTACTTCGAAAGTTGTGTGCAAGTGAGCTGATCTGGATGTGAGACCGGAGTCTCATCCGTAGATAGTGCAGATAGCGCCTGCTGCTGACTGGGACGTGAGAATGAGGTCTCTGATTTCGCTAGCGTGGGTTCCGGGGTAGTTTTAAGGATCCTGCTAGGTCTAGAATTGGGTCTCGGATTAGCAAGTAGGGCACTGTCATCGACGTGTACTGGCTTGAGACGATCAATGTTGACTATCTGGACGCGGCCATGTCGAGCAACCTTGGAGGTCTTTTCATGACGGGAAATCACGTGAAAAGGTCCGTCGTAAGGTTGTTGCAGAGTTTTGCGTACCGAATCGACTCGAATGGAAACATGTGAGCTGGTAGATAACTCTCGGCGGAGAACGACCTGTCAATGTTGTACTCGAGTTGACACCGGAGGCAGTGCTCGCGTAAATGCAGACAATCGTTGGACGTAGTCTGATTTATTGAAATTATCATTGCTCCGTGGTGTGAAAAATTCCCCAGGCAGATGCAATGTCGTGCCGTATACCAATTCCGCAGCGGAACATTGAATATCTGCCTTTAAGCTCATTCTGATGTCTAGAAGGACGAGCGGTAAGGTTTCGTATTAATTGTTGTTTTCGTGTGCTCGGAGAGCGTTTTTGAGTTGGCGATGGAACCTTTAGACTAAACCATTTGAAGCTGGGTGGTAGGCGGTAGTGAGTATGCGCTCCGTACCAAGCAGCCGAGTTAGCGAGGAGAATAGTTCGGACTCGAATTGTTGTCCTCGGTAAGTTGTGACAGCTAGGGACACTTCTTGACACTGAAGGGATGTATTTTGTTGTGCTTCTAAACAAGAGGGATCGTTTGCTAGGGCGGCGGCCATAGCAGGAAGATTGAGCACTGGTAAAGTAACTGCATTCACTTGAATACGTGACAAAGCATCGGCAACGTAGTTCGACTCGCCTTTAATATAAGGGAGGTCCGCCGTGAACTGAGAGATATAGTCCAAATGTCTGCACTTTTGTGGTGAGTAGCGGTCAGACTTTGTATGAAGAGCATACGTTAGAGGCTTATGGTCGGTAAATAGGATAAAGTTACGACCTTCTACTGCGTGCCGAAAATGTTTGATGGCACAGTAAGCTGCTAGCAGCTCACGACCAAAAAAGCCATAACTCTTCTTTGCGGGAGTAAGGCGTCGTGAGTAAAATTCGAGAGGTTGCCAACTTCCAGAGATGTTTTGTTGCATGATGGCTCCTATAGCAAAATCGGATGCATCAATCGCTAAACTGAGCGTGGCTGATGGGTCGGGATGGGCGAGGAGCGTGGCTTGAGCTTCACCTTTTTGTATCTCGGAGAATGCAGTACGCGCGGCATCGTTCAATTCTAGTTTACGTGGATTACCGCGAAGTAGATCGGTTAGTTGTCGTAACTGTTCCGTGGCGTGAGGAATGAAACGTCGGTAGAAGTCGACCAAACCGAGAAAAGCCTTCAGTTCTTTGAGTGAAGACGGTACAGTGTACACCATGATCGTACGTACTTTATCTTCACAAGGTAAAATACCCTCATGCTTAATAACATGACCCAGGAATTTTATTTCTGCTTTGCCGAGTTCGCACTTCTCTGGGTTGATTTTTATTCCATTATCCGTGAGACGTTGGAATAAGAGTGTAAGATGTTGATAGTGTTCATCTACGTTTGATGATGCGATTAACAAGTCATCAATAAAGACGTGAACAAAATCGAAGTCTCGTACTACTTTGGAAAGTTTGAGCAGCATTCCGTAATCCAAATGGCATTCGTAGGAACTCAAACAGACCGATAGGAGTCGTGACAGCAGTTTTCTCAATATCCTCAGGTGCGACTGCATTCTGATGATATGCCTGATCTTAGAATAAATAGTCGTGCCCTTGAGCGATGCCGTGACGTCGTGTATGTGGGGGATGGGTTAACTATCGAAACGTGTGACTACATTTAGTGCCCGGTAGTCGCCACATGGTCGCCAACTTATCTCATCCTTTTTGCGAAACATGTGGAGCGGTGAGGCCCGCGGACTGTGAGAAGGATGAATAATACCAGTAGCTAGTAAATTGTCAAACTAGCGTTTAGCGGAAGCCAATTTGTCCGGTGCCAGTCGGCGAGGCTTTGCCGTGACTGGCGGTCCGCGGGTGACGATGTGGTGGACCACATGTCAGGTCACCGATGGAGTCTCCTCGAGGGGTTTAGTTAATTGTGGGAATTTTTCGAGTAAAGCGTAGAAAATGTCATTACGCGAATGAAATAAGCCTGTTACCCGGTACGCATTTGTTTGAGCTCGAAAGCCCATAAATTTACTGTTCGACGAAGTATCGATTGGCTGCAGCCTACGTGAATCGACTAGCATTTCATAGTGCTGTAGGAAATCGATACCGAGTATAGATGTGGGAACATCAACAATGATGAATGTCCGCGGATACTGTCGTCGGTTATTCAGGTTGATAGTTAGCTGTCGTGTACCATAGATGGAGCCATTTGCAGTGCGTGGTCGAAGCATCGTAGCTACCAAACGATACGACAGAAACTTGGGCACTTGTGGCCATCAAGTACCTAGCGTTAGTGCAAAAATGAGCACGTAGAATAAACTAACAACCTGAAGTGACGGGGAGGAGACAGGTGAGATCGCAATGACCTGCACTTAGGAGTCTATTATTATAGGTATCTACCGTTTCGAAGAGGTTTTGCAAGTATAATATATATTAAATACATTATTAATAGTATTGCAACATTATAAAAATGGTGGTAGATGAATAATAGACTCACCGTAATTGACTTCATTTGGAAAAACGTCTCACCGTTTCGCCAATTGTAGTGAGCGAGTCAAGATACCTGATTGACTATGCTCACCACTAAATATTCCATAACATCCCGCCATTATTGAAAGCCTAAATAAATCCATTTTCCAAGGTTTTATTGAAGGAGAACGTTGGCATTACGTGGGGAGTAGCAAATAGAGAAAAATGGCAGCAACGTGAAGGGAATGTTGCGCTCAAGAAGTAGAAGAAGTTTTTCTGGTACAGTTAAACAAAACGAGTACAATAATGTTTTATTTTCACAAATCATATTTTCTTCGTAGAAGCGTTCCACTACACATCTTTGATGCCGACAGTCGCAGACCGGATCCTGAGAACATCCGGGCTACCAAACTGATGCCCATTCCCACTAATGTTTCGGAATTACGATCTTTTCTCGGATTATTCAGTTATTATTCAGCATTTGTTCCCTCGATGCATGATATTCGCGCTCCATAGAAATGTCTACTACAGAAGCATAGCACATGGGACTGGACTAAAGAGTGTGACGCGGCTTTTGGTAAACTCAAGTCCATAATTAGCTCGAAATTGTTATTACCACACTACGGCTCATCCATGCCGATCATCGTAGTAGCAGATGCTTCAGCATGTGGCCTAGGTGCTGTTATTTTACATCAGTTTCCAGACGCATCAGAAAAAGCCGTTATGCATGCATCCCGTTTACTAACCCCAGCAGCAAAGAAGTATAGCCAGATAGAGAAAGAAGCTCTTGCCCTTGTGTTTGTTGTTTACCGTTTCTACAAGTTTCTCTACGTTCGGAGATCGCAAGCTTTTGTTAGCAGTATTCGGTTGTAAATCTGGCATTCCAGCCCATTCTGCAAATCGTCTTCAGCGATGGGCGCTGGTGCTTTTGGGGTATGATTTCGAAATCCAATATCGACGCTCTCTACAATTCGGTCAAGCAGACTCTTTGTCACGACTCATTTGTGATCAAGTGGCGGCTGAGGAAAACATGGTGATCGCATCTCTGTCAGTAGAAGACCGCGCAGAATGTTATCTGACAACCGCAGTTCGCGCATTACCGGTGTCTGCAACAGACATACAAAATGCTTCTAGAAACGACCGCATCATCAAGATGACGATGAAATATGTCACTAACGGTTGACCGTCGACAAAGTTTGAAGGTGACACGAAGCAACCGTATTAGCGGCGGGGTTCACTATGCATCGTGAACGGTCGTCTGATGCTTGGTGAAAGAGTAGTGGTGCCAGAATCCCTTCGTGAAAAAGTGCTGAGACAGGTACGTCTCGGTCATCCTGGGATTCAACGAATGAAATCCATAGCCAGGAGTAATGCATACTGGCCTCACATTGATCAACATGTCACAGCGTTGGTTGAAAAATGCATGCGGTTTCAGCAGGCGGAAAAGATGAATGCCGAAATTCCGCCGGTCTCATGGCCCAAACCTGAGCATCCTTGGTCCAGGATACATGTCGACTTCGCTGGTTCAATTAATGGAACTATGTATTTACTTGTCGTCAACGCCGGAAATCAGCCCCGTTATGCCGCCCACTACAACTAAGACTATACAGCTCCTACCTAAAATTTATTCACGAAATGGCTTTCCAGATGTGTTCGCATCCGACAATGGCTCTCAAATCACCTCTTCCCAACTCCTGACTTTCTGTCAACGGCTAGCCATTAAACACATACGCTCGCCACCGTACCATCTGCAATCAAATGGGCAGGCGGAAAGGTTTGTGGATACGTTTAAAAGAGCATTGCTTAAGTCAAAAGGGGAGAGGACACCAGCCGAAGCGTTACGAAATTTCTTGTACGTCTGTCGGACAACACCAAATGAATTGTTACCGGAGCAAAAGTCGCCAGCAGAAATCAAGATGGGAAGAAGATTGAAAACGATCCACAGCCTGATGCATAAGACTAATGCACCCTCATCAGTAGAGACAAAGCAGCAAAGACAATCCGCTTACCAAGTGGGATGCCCTGTGTTTGCCCGCGACTACAGAACGAACCATGGTCCTCGGGCAGAAGCCAGAGTGGTCGGAAGAGCTGGACGAGTTATGTACGAAGTAGAGGTAGGAGGTGATAAATGGTCACGTCATCGAAATCAGGTACTCAGACGGCTAGCCCTAGATCGCCCATCAAGGGCAGAAAGCCTTCCCCCTAACATCTTGCTTGATAACTTCAAACTACCGGCAGCCCCGCCACGAGAAGAAACTCAGCAGCAAGCTGTTCTTCGTTCCCGAAGGTATCGTCTCAGACGGCGGCGAACAACAGTGAAGACGCAAGTCGACCCCAGTAGCAAACACTATTAAAAAGGGGAGGAGTGTTGGGGATGTTAGATCCCCAAAAATCGCTTGTTAAATGCCTTATTTCGGATTCTACGTTTGCCAGCATGGGCTGATCAGTTAATCTTGAGGTTTCAATTCCCACCAGGAAAATCCAACGCTGTGATTGGCTGCTGTGTATTATAGTGTGCTATTTTATAACTGTCCCAAGGACATTTCTATGATGTATAAACAAACGAGAGTTGTATGCTTGATTGTACTGTGATTGCTGGGTGTTTGTAGAATATACTTTCTACAAAGCCTTTTCACTTTAACCTCAGAATCAAGGTAGCCTGCCTGGATGCTGGTCAAAATCTCGTTCGCGTTTACTGACTAAAGTAAACTCGTAATAGCCTCAAGCATACTAAGTGACGAACCCAATAAGTATCAATAGGGATATCTCCGTCGAATAGTAGTTTAATAGATGAAGGTCTCCGACTTCAACTTTGTAAAACCCTACACACACTTCTTTATGAACGCACTAGGATAGCTGATATCGGTCAGTGAGCTGGTGATAAATTCTAGCTGCTGACTTAAAGTATCTACTGAACGGGTCTTTTTTGCTCTGCTAGTGGGACATCTGACGCGATTTCCGATGTGGCCGATAAGTGTAAAACTATAGAAATAAATGTATAGGCAAGCGAAGGGTGTTTTTTATGTGTCCACGTCTCTACTTAACAAGTCATCAGTTCGCCTGTCTAGTGTGACGTCAAGGAAATTCAGCTTTTATCACACTCTCGTTTACCAGTGAAAGTGATAGCCATGTGTCAAATATTGAATTGATCTAGTAGTTTTTATTTGCTGATGTTTTGATCTTCAATGGGACACGTGACATCGACGTACCTGTGATGTAGATCAACTTTCTTAATAGCCTCGTTAAGTGGTTCGTTTTCTAGCTTTGCTATGAAGAGGTCAGCTGGAGTTGTGTCTAGACGTCAACCCATGTCAATCCGGTCTGTTAGCAGTTTTGAACGTTCATCCTACAAATGAGAAGCAGATAATTCAGGCAATCCTTGGGAGAATCAGTCAAATGTATTTCTACATTGTTATAGATGATGAACTATAGATGAAACTTTTTTTATCGAATTTTACTTATCTGAATACTATTATTGCACCTGTACTCATACGAACAAATTTCACTTTTACCTAATATGAGCATGTACGTAGAATTGTGATGATAAACTCAAACTTCCTTAAAGTATTCAAAAGATTCATATACATAATAATGTATATTAGAGTGAAGCATGATGCTGATCTAAGCGAAATTGTTTGCGTGTAAACTTGTTGTTTTCAGATAGGAATAGTTCCAAGTGAGTAGCGTTAGATGGTAACAGTGAAATAAGACTTTAACAGAGAATATAATTATTGTGTTTGTCACTCGTTGATATACAATAATGTATACGATTCATTTCAAATAGAGGAAATTGGAAGATTCAGAGAAGAAGGACAATGCATCAACGGAAGTTCAAACACTAAAGCAATGGCTCGACATTGTTCGAAATTTCTCAAGTATAATAAAATTTGCTTTTCAACTTCATGATCATCAGTTTGTAAGTTCGATGATTTTGAAGAATTTCAATGATTACATGTGTCATTTCTCATTTTAATTGTTGTTCAGTATTGGCAAATATCTTCAATCAGTTTATCGTTTCTGTTGCGTATTGTAACAAATAGGAACGAAATGCATACAAACCGCATACTTCGAAATCGGTTCTCTCACAACCTACTTCTTTGCACATATAATTGAAAGAAAATTCATCTACTCAGTAGCATCTGATAGATGGTGATGGTTAGAGTGTAGTGTCACTCCTAATTGCAATAATCCTACAAATTTTGTATAATAGTTGTTTATTCGATAACTGCTAGTACTAGTTGATGATCAGGTACATCGACAATTTGATGTGGTATTATGAACCTGTCTGTTGTATATAATTGTTGTCAGTTTGTGATGAAAACGATCGCGTTAATCAATTCAATATTCTTAAACATGATAGTGAAATATCGAGCAAACATGTGAGTAAATCATGGTTTAGTGAGATACACGTTATAAGAATTCAAGAATTGTTTCTGCTTTTGGTGAATACTGAATTCCCATTACTTCATGTGTGTGCATCACTTATTTTGGTTATTTGTGTAGAATATTTGTGATTTTGCTAATTGTAAGCCCGAATATTTTGCAGTGAATATTGGTTTTTCAAAATGTTCGTAGGAAATATGAGCTTTATCAATATTTGTGACATGTGGTGTTATTGTTCGTTTCAGATTGTGTTAGTTGGCCACACTGAAAGTAGACTTTACCAGAGAACGTAATTGTTTCGTTTAGGCACTAGTTGAAAAATAATCAATCATGTAGGCAATGCTTTTCACCGAGAGAATATCATCAGTAGATGCTGCGAATAATAATATTTAGGATTTATTTTGTTGACTTTCTATATTTATTTAATTGTATCGTCAATTAAAAATCTGGTTTTCGATAAAGTTCAAATACGTCATGGTTTTATTGAAATTTTTATTGAGTTAAATTTACTTAAACTTTTTCAAACACTGTCAGTTTCATTTAGTTTACAGCTCTGTGATAAACGTTTTTCCACTTTCTTGTTTTCAGAAATAAACGTTCTGTGTGTGGTTAATGTTGCTGGTTTTTAAACCTAACACTGATAGTAGTTGTTCATGCCTTTTAAGCTTGTTTGTTTATGATCATTGTTTCCGCCTTTATGTTTCTATATAGTGAATTTTATAAGGGTATGTACGCTTTACAATTCATTGTTTTATTCCTATAGTTCTTTTAGAATCATCAGATAATGAATAAAGTTTTGTTGCAGATTTAACTTGTGTTATGTGATGTTGATTGTAATGGTGAAACATATGGTTGTTAAATTTGTTTATATTTCGTTCTGTTGTAAACGCTGCTACGTAAACTCTTCAGTCCTAACGGCGTCCAATTCAAATACCGCAATACGACCCAAAAGGCTTTTTCCAACTCTCCTAGAAATCAGAACGTAACACCGTGGAAGGAAGATATTTATTGGGTCGAATACAGAAGAAGAAGTAGGCAGGGGAACGGAGTTATTAAGTCTTCCAGATAGCGCGTATTTATACACTAAGGTCGAATAAGAAAAAGCATCAACGTCTGTGACATTGAAAAATTAGGACGACCAATAGAAAAGAACATTTGAATGACATCGACCGTCCAGATGACCAATAAGAGGTAACATTGAAGTATTTGACCCTGACGGTAAGAACGATCACAATTTCGGCCAATAGAAATCGACCAATAGGATTACACTTCTAAAAATAGCATTCTTAGGATATTTGGTGAATATCCTAACACGTTCAAACTAACATCACAAACTATTCAGATGATAATAAACCAATTTTATATCCATACTGATTTTTTACCAAAAATAGCTTACTAGGTTAGAGAAGTGAGTGATTGAACCTAAGGTTGTATCAATTGAATTAGTCAGACATGAATGAAGAATACTCGATTAATCAAATATATTATTCGTATTTAAAGGTTGACAGAAATAAGGCGGTTCGAAATTTTATGAAACTACATGAAAAGTGATAACTATGTAACCGGATTGCCTAAAGTGGTGAAATAAATTTTGAAAGGTTTTGTTGGCCCTCGGAGTGAGTCTAGGTTCAGTTGAAATCTGTGTGGGGATCATCACCTCATTGGCCCATTATCTGGCTCAAGTATTTATGAACGACCGAGTATGCTATGTAATAGATCTCTCCATCAGTTTCCGTCAAGTATATTTGGGCGAACCCCGTTCGTGTTACAGAGGAAACAGGAAGCCAAATACGGATTCGGTTAAAAGAGTTTCTTTCAGACAATTCTTCATGCAGACATGATATGATAATGAAATGCGCACAAATAAGGCAAGGTGGAGAAGGCGAGTGAGACAACTCATTCTGATGAAACATGACCAAGGATTTATAGTGAGATAGAGTAAGTCAGACATGTGATAAGCGAATAGGATGAATATGCGCGTAGGCGGTAAGCAATGTTCAGTCGTACCAGCTCACACAAACCAGACAATATTAAATGTCAATGGTACTTATAAGTTGCTGCTATACAAATGACTTGGTTAAATAAGTTGATCAAAACACTTGACAAAAGTGAAAATGAGCGAACTCAAATGTTGTATGTGGAGGCACTACAGTTTCTTTCATCTTTATGCTCTTATGCACAAATGTTTGGAGGAGCTTAACGCTGATATCGAGAACAGACTGGTTTGTAGTTGTTGAATGTCTTAAAAAAACAATTCAATTCATATAATTTTGATCGTGATCCGGCTAGAGAGTCTCATAAACTTATCGTATCAAAGATTTTCCCTAGACAACTCAGTAACTCTCAATTAGGTGTTGTTGATGTTTCAGCAATTTCAGTTTTCCTCATCATGAATGAATAAATGAGAATAATTCAACTTCCTTACTGATAACAATGCATCAAAGATTAAGATTCGGTTAACATAAATTCAAATAACTAGATTAAATAAAAATAGGTAAGCACATTATCACAGAGATGAATTCAACGATCAATAGAATCTCTTATTCCAGTGTCGTAAAATATTTGCATGCTGATAGATGTGATGTTGTTCGACTATAGTAACTCACTGAAGCATAAGGGTAACTAACATATCTGAATCGATTCCATATGGGTATATGTGGATATGATGGATATGATTTGAGAAGTATAATTCAATGAGATAAATTTAGAAAGTGAAAGATAGAGATGATGAACAATTCAGAAGGTCAGAACCTGAGAGAACACAAAGAGTGCATGCACTTGCGCCATTGTCAATGATTTTGAGACATGTCATTCAAGGTCGGTAACCATTGATGATTTACATATCGCGGACCCCAACCGCGTTGCCTATATCTGTGTGCCACTTCATTTATCTCGGGAGTCTCGTCAATGCTGATGGCCTATGGACTGACGAAATCTCAGTGCGCATACAGAAGGTTCGATTGGCTGTTGCCAAGTTGCGTCACCTATAGCGTGGGTGAGATATCCGTCCACTGACTAAAGGGCGAGTGTACAGCTCAGCTGTTCGCTCCGTCCTACTTTATAGCTGCAAAACATGTCCAGTAGGAGTGGAATATATTCATAGGTTGTTAGTATAGGATCATAGGTGTCTTCGAAGCACTGCTCGTTTATCTTAAGTCTATTGAGTACGCAATGCTGTGGTTAGGAAACGGGTCCTAGATAAGAATGGCAGGTCAATAGATGAAGTATTGAAACTTCATCAATAATAGTAATAGTGGCAGTAGTGGTGTGGTGCGAGCTACTTATAAGTAGTACATAACCTGAGTGTCAACGTAATGTCTGGCAGCAGAAGATGGGGGAAGATCAAGAAAGGAAGAGTGGAAACACAATCGAATTTGTATGAAACGCATGAATAGTGACAATGGATTGATGTTTAGCAACAGGAACAGTCCAGTTCGATATGATGAACTGATATTTTGCAAATAAACGATTTACGATATGGTTTTCCAATTTTACTGAGTAACTCTGTAATTTTCGCTAAATACAATTTGGTTGTCCTCACCTGTGTTCCTCTTCACTACAGTAGCATCATGG